CTCCCTGAGGAGAGCGAACAGCCCTGAGGGGAACATTAACACCCACGGAAAAAAGAGACTTTCTCCAACTGTCTGTGGGCTTAAAGACCAATTTCAAGCGCAGCTGCACTGAGGAATACAACAGCATCTTCCACACCACTATGAGGAAAAACGAAGAGAAAGGTAAGGCATAGCTATAAATATGTACCTGATGATTTACACTATTCTCCCAAAGCCTTCAGTCATTTAAATTAATTCTGCTGCAAATATGCAAGTGAATAATTCTCACCTGACCATAATCCTTTGAAGTTTACCTCAGCAACACCGAAAAACCTTTTTTTTAAAGACACCTACTTTTCAAATTAATGCCACCTGGCTTCACATTGAGAAAGCTCAGTTGTGGTAGTAACATCTAAAAGAACCAACGACTGGAATTTAACCAAATTTTAAATGACTGTCTTTTAAGAAGCAAAATAAGAACAACTTAGCTTAGAAGGGACTCTGGAGGCTGGTCTGGTCCAACCCCTCCTCAGGCTGCACCAGCTTCTGCCCACCCAAGCCCAGAGCGGCTCCAGGGATGGAGCTCCCACAGGCAGCCCACCACCTGCCCTGGCCCAAATTCTCTCAAAACTCCTGTGGCAGCTAACGGGAATTTTCCTGATGCTGCCTGTGGCCGTTTCCACTCATCCTTTCACTGTGCAGCTTTAAAGTGTCTGACTAGTGTCTTCTTTGTAACCACCCATTAGGTGGTTAAAGACAGCAATCAGATTCCCCACTGAATATGCTTGTTTTTAGGCTAAACAAACCCCATTAACTGATGAAATACATTTGGTAGTTTTCAAGAGTTTACCGTACCATTTCTGATTGTGCAAAAGACCAGTAGAGCAGCAGGAAGCTGATGGAGAGAAAGCAAAGCGATTATTTACAAAGCTACCACAGATAAAGAAAAAATGTTTTCCCATAATCACCTGTTCAGAGCTTGTATATTATACATAATATTAACACTGGGGGGAAAAATGAGATGGACTGATTTATTTTAAGCAGACTAATAATCTGTAAACAGGACAAAGTAGTACCATCATTTCTAACTAGTTTAGAGCAGTTGTTTAATTGTTTCATATATGTAAAACCAAGAAATTGGCACTAGTATCTTTGTAATTTAATTAACACAAAATACTGCATTAAAAACAATAGTATAGAAATGCACAAAGTAATTTCAGTTAAGGCTTCTACAGATACTGTATGTTCTGTAATTGAACATATTTTGTAAAACTCATTCTAAAACTTTCCAAGTAACTAAACAAAAAACCCCAGTTAAACTCATAATCCATTGTGAGACTTGATGGAATAAAAAGTACTTTGCAAAACAGATAATTAGCTATCAAATTGTTTATCAAGTTTTATTTTAAATGGCAGCCTCAAGCCTCATTAACTTAAATATCCATATACTTGGACCCTCCCAAAAAGATTAACTGGAAAGGTAAGCCTGGTTTGAAATATGGATCCCATTAAGTTCATTGCCTTAATCCCTGCTCAACCTTCTAAACAAACTACTCTATTTCACAACAACAACAAATCTGGCTCTTGGCTAGCATCACTTTGTCCAAGGGATACTCGGAAGGCCAATTCCTAGTAATAATGTCAGAAATCAGCAATTATGTTATTCAAGTTTTTCCTGTACTGATTTGATGCTGTAGCACAGTTTTGCCTGAGCTCCATACTTTATGGGCAAAATTGTATTCCTTACCATCCCAAGATGACAGAAATGTCAAACAGCAAAGAGAAGCCATTATTAATCTCATCTTCAGGAGTTCAACAATTCTGTAAATCAAACACACCACATCTGGAGAAAGTGTGGTGGCAACCTACATGGGAACACTAAGTAGTGCCTCATCTGCCATCTCCTACAGCTGAATTATGACAAGAACCTTCAGTGTAACACTGAAGGGGAGCAGCACACTGAATCGCTCCATTTTGATATACAGTGCAATGCCAGCCATGATTTAGCTCTACACTTTTGCAAAAAAAAAAACCAACAAAAAAACCATGCACAAGAACAGTAACCATTTACAAAAAAGGTTACCAGCTCCTTCCCACAACAAAGTGAATTCCCCAGAACACAGCCAGCAGCTGTGGAACATCTTGTAATTCTGGTAGAACTCTTTTTTTTTTTTTTTTTTTTTACCCAAGATTACCACAGCATTTAAAAAGAAGTCATAAACACAATTTTTTCATTACATAAATTTGCTGGATGAGCACAGCAGAACTCAAGTCCTCAACAGGGCAGTAGCAGCCTTAGTTATTCAAGTTTCCATCCTTGTTTGAAAGCAACTCGGGTAACAGCACAGCAAGTTAGTGTCTCTTTAACATCCCCCTTCAAGTCGTATCTGTCTACTCTTTACCTTCACTACTAGAAAGCACAGTAATTCTCGAGGGAAGTTTGACAACTGCACCATCTTTACAACCACACTTACATACATTAAATAAAACAATGCAAGATCAATACATATTAAATAACATATACAAATAGTTTTGGGGCTTTATGTGATACTTTCTTGAGAAATGGATTTCAAACTAGCTCTAGTCTATGTCTGCTCAGAAGACTGTTTAATCCTGCAAGACATCTGTATTTATTCACATCTGCAACACCTTAATTTTCCCACCTTAATATAAAAAAAAAAAAAATGTTGCTTTTCATCATCAAAACCCAAGAACTGACACTATTACTACTACATCACTACATGGCAGGTAGGTTGCTGGAGTTTTTGTTTTGCTTTAGTAAGCATTTTCTTGTAATTTTAGGAAGAAGTTTCCCATTCCAATCTTTCACAAAACAACAAGAATCCTTCTGGGGAAAACCATTCTACATCAAAATAGGTAGAAGTAGGAACATTTCTAACATCTGTGAAATCTAAGTTTCTTTAGAAAGAGCAGTGTATAACACTATTGCTTTTGCCATACAAGATAAGGAGAAATCAGAACACTATTCCTGTGAGTGGCTTTGTAAAAGTGACGCATCCTGACTGTTGAGAAATTACAGGACGTACATACATCCTGTTGGCAACCCAAAAACACTCCGCTTGATTAAAAGATGTATTTAGGTATTCATTAGCTGACCAAACTGTTGCAACATTAAAACTTATATTTCTTTTATCAATGTCAACTTGAAAGAACTTGTTATCATCAAGATCTTTGTGAAGAGAACTAAATGAAGAAAAATAGTGTCCTCTTTTAAGGAATTATCAAACAAAACCCAGATTATTTTATGCTTGCTAACTTTGTCATTTTTATGTTTCCTGACTTTTTTTTTTGTTACCATGTTCTTTAGACTACTTTCTTCACAAGATTTGGTTTAATCTCTAGAGAACATTTAGACAAATGAGGCAAGCCAACTGCTATCAGGATCAGTAACAAAAGCAGGTTGTTGAAGACTGTACAGCAGTCAAAAAAGCACTGAATACCTGATCTTCTGCATCCATGTAGTTTCTTTGGCTATATAGGTAGCAATATTTACAAAACCACCTTGACTTTATACACTAGAGATAATCTACTTTGTAAAATAAAAAGCAAAAGTATAAAAGTTTTCAATCACATTTGGAAACTGTAGTATACATAAAAAGATCAAATATATCCAATATAAAAATACATTTTTTTTCTTTATGAAAGTTATAATACATGGCTATAATACACAACATGTTGAGCCATCAGTCGCAGCTACAATATTTGCAGGTGCTTGTTCCACACTATGGCTGGGCTCTGGGTATATCTCCCTGGGGAAATTCCTCAATTTCAGCATGAAACATCAGTTCTAAAACAAAAAGAAAAGAATGTCTTCTTTTAAAAGTTTCACCTAAATGCAATTTCATTATTCCTGAAAAGTGCTCTGGCATTTCCCCAACCCTCCTGCTTTGCCTCCCAATCATAGTATCAACAACTCAGCAATGTCAAGGGCCACCACCGTCTTTAGAAAACTATTGTTGCCCCCCAAAATTAACAGAATTAGTGATGGTGTTAGCTGCTGATCATATGCACTAGCATCCTGCATTCAACCTGGACACTGAAATAGAAATCTGAAGGTAGATTGAGGGATTGTTAAAGTTTTGAGTGTCATACTCAAGCAGAAGATTTCTGTTTAGACACCTGTTAATTTATGGCTATATCTGCTCTATGCATCAGAGTGTAAGTTAGCAACAGTAGAACCTGGGATAGAAAGAATCATGAACAGTACTCATAGCTAGCTGTCACCATGGCAGCTCAGGCATGGGAGACAGCCTAAGGTCAGCAGGGAAGAGCTCCTTGCAGAGAAATTCAGACAGGCACACTAAGCAGCTGATGAGGTAGCTCCTGTGGCGTTCAGCACTGCTTCTCGCACCTGGGTTCCCTTACGTATCTATACTGCACCCTCAGCATGGGTATACTTTCTGTCTTGCGCAGGCTGTGTTTGCCAACAACTTGTCAACATAGTAAAGTTACACAATCCATACATGCAACAATGTGGTTTATCTACTGAAGTTTGTGATTCACATTTTTGTTATCTCATCCTTAGCAGACTAAACTTCTTCTACTATTTGGGATAAGTCCTAACAGAATTTCTCTGTTGAAATTTCAGAAGCAGGTTTTCTAATCTTAGTAGGCACATGAAAATATCAAAAAAGCTCATCAAAACCTGGGTTAAATTCTGCCACTGGCTTCCTTGAATAAGTCTTTATTATAAAAAAATGGCTTTTAAATACAATTTAAACATCTATTACAAATTTTACTTTCAAAGACTACAAAGGCTGCCACCTAGTGGTTTTTTTTAACTCAGTAAGTGAGTTACTAGAAATAAGAAGAGTAACTGGGGCCAGATGAAATACAGGAATCTGTATATTAAAATTCTAAAGTAATCTGAAGAAGCATGTTGAATCTTCTTCAGCCTTCCAAACACAAATCTGTGCTTCAATTCATGATGCTCTTGGGATACCTATTGATTTGTAAGTTAAAACTTACGATTTTTTTATGTTCAGCATAACTTAACTCACAGACTGCGTGCACTTGATAGGAAAGGTGAGTTATGATACACCTTTTGAATCCCAGCTGGAACAACAAAAGGAAGAAGGCCTAGTCTCTAGCAAAACTTCTACGAAAATGGGACAACTTGCTTGCCCCTCCTTCAGCCTGGACCACCACAAGCAGTCCTCATTTGAATTCCTGTTCTGCAAGCACAAATCTGACTTTTCAAAGCTCAGGGGTTCCCAAAACTACTGCAATGTTCTACTGAAAATAATACTAAACTCAAAATGCATTCAGCATTTGCAAAAGGAACATTAGTAACATTAGGGAATTTTTTTAAACCACAAGCAGAATAAATACATTTAAAATATTCAAAATACTGTACTTTTCCCTTCAGTGGAGACATACACTCTGTCATGTTTCAAAATTCATGTTGCTTCAGCCAGGACAAACAGGGCTTTTCTTTCCTTTTTAAATTACTGTTTTCTCTCTATAAAACCAAACACAGACACGAGCATCCTAAGAAGCACTTGCTTTGGAAAGTTGCTAGGAGATGCTTGGTTTTCCTCAGACAAAATTTCTCAGCACTATGCTTGAACACCAAATGCAGAGCACAGCGGATAAAAGCCCAAACAAACAACATTTTGTCTATTAATGTTTCCTACCTTCACTGTGGTCTAGTTCTGGTCGGTAAGACAAGAAGATCCAACTTGCCCCAACTAGAATAGACACTACCAGATTCACCACAATCCATGGGTGAACAATTTCTTCCTCTGTACCTGCCGTCCTGGGAAAAGCACATCAACCAGTCAGCCAGGGGTTCACTGGTACATACAGGTCACAATAATAATTTCAACAGAGTATCATAAAAACATGCTTGCTAAGCCAGATGTGAAAACAGAACTATTTGTACCATCCTGATGGTCTTGCATTGCAAAGGCCTGTTAAAGAGAGCAAGTACCAAAGAGAGTGACTCAGCCAAGAAATCCCATTATCTTATAGAGAATGTCCTCTTGTAAATTTCAACAGCAAATTCCTTTTTTTGGCCAAGAGACAGAAAATAAAAATCAAAATGCATGGTCAAATGTTACTGTGGTGAAAGACACGGCACAATGTCTTCAGTTGGTCTTCTAAACAGCAAGTCAGTATCTGTAAGCTAGGACAAGGACCGTTGTACAGATGCTGTGGGGTGGATGAGATAGAGCTTTAAGAAGGTTATGATTTAAGTTAGCTAACACTTTTCATACTGTTATAACAGCAGCAGGTTGCTGTTTTGTTACTAGAATGTAGGCTTTTTAATAGACAACTCAACATTAGAGAAGCCCTAAAAAAAAAAGAGAAAAATATCTAACCGCCCAAACCAGCAAATTTTCATGTAAATGCTTTTGTTCTACTTCTCCCGGTCTTGTGTTAGTAGAGTTTAAGTCCACTAAATATCTACTTCAGAAAGTAATGGTTTTGGATGGGATCTCCTAGCATGAAGCGATGCTTCATATCTAATGTCAGCTGTGCCTGCTAAGCCCCTGCATCCTGTGGGAGACATACCACTTCTTCCTAATACCATGACATTGATTTCTTGGGCAGATTAGACCATCTCCTTCAAAACCAATGTTGACTCTCTACAAAATGTCCTGCCCTTGGAACACAAAAAGGTTACCTCAGTAGGGTCCCATTTCTCCAGCAAAAGAGACTCTTAAGGTTCCTGCCAGATGACATTTTCAGCATCATTCCAACAGGCTCTTATTTGAGGTATAATGGATTTGCAACCAACATGACTGAACCCATCCTTGAGTCATAGAATCATAGAATGGTTTGGGTTGGAAAGGACCTTAAAGATCATCGAGTCCCAGCCCCCCTGCCATGGGCAGGGACACCTCCACTAGCCCAGGTTGCTCAAAGCCTCATCCAGCCTGGCCTTGAACACTTCCAGGGATGGGGCATCCACGGCTTCTCTGGGAAACCTGTTCCAGTGTCTCACCACCCTCACAGTTCTAATTTTTTAGTGAAATTACCAAAGATTCACTACAAACTCCAACAAAGGCAGGTTTAGTAGTGAAATCCTTCATTAATACTTTTTTATGTATGCTGTATAACCTTTTCAATCCACCTGTTTGACTAAGGTTCCTAAGTGGGCTATGTTACAGAAGTGATTTAAGTTTCCTACCAGATGCTGCCATTTTCCGAAGGTGGTGTGTAGAGATTAATTCTGTCACATGTCATCTGCTGGCTTAAGGATAAGATAAGAGCAGCAAAGTACACTGGAAGAAATGGAATTAGTAGTGTCAGATATAAACCCCAAAAATGCTGTCTAATCATGACATGATAATTATCACTACATTTTCTTTCCCTTCACTCCTCTGCATCCAATTATAGTATCCTTTAATTCATTCTCTCTTCTTCAACATTCTCCTGACCCATCAAAATCTGTCTTCTGAACTTTTGCAACGGATCAGCTCCATCAAAGGTGGCATCTTGTGATTCTGGTTTTTGCTAGGTCTGTGTTCTGTATTCAGAAGTGGGAAAAGAACTCTCTCACCACTAGTCCCACTAATGTTATTATTGCAAATGCTTTAAAAAACATGTAGCAAAGTGTTCATAGCCTTTGAATGCTATTTTTCAACTACTTAGCAAGTCACTTATTCTAAAGCACAAAATAACCAGGAAGGAAGATTTCACTGAAAACAGTATGTAGGATTTCTCCACTTACTGTCTTTTTTGGACATCTTCCTATCCATTTCAGAATACTTACAGAAAGAGGCTACTGCTGCTGGGTCTAGGGTAAGAAAGCCCCTCAGTGCAACTGATGCTTTCGCCAAGTCAGTCCTGATTACAAAAACAAGAGTCATTAACACAGCCCAATAATGTAATAATATTGTTCCTCTAACAGTATTCTATTGTACTTTTACTTTTTTGCAAGATACCTTTTTCTGCAACTGTTACAGTGCCTTAATACACAACCTATATTCCACACATAGGCAAAGATCCTCATTATGCCAAATTCAAGAAAGAGTGAAACTAAGGAGAATGTTCCATGAAGTTTGTAGCTTCCACACCACAGTCCTTTCTGGAATGGGGAAAATGTGGACACCTCTAATCCTTACCATTCATTTCAGGGTCCACACACCAACCAAGTTACGTTAATATACCTGCTCACATAGCTTACACTAGTACAGGAGCAACTAAGAATAACTTGGGCCTCCTCTCTGCCACCACTTGATGAAAAAAAAGGTCACAATTTCTTCCATAGAACAGACTTGTCCCCTGGCTTACCATGCTGCTGTGGAAACTATCTGTCACTAAATGAAACATCTATGAATGTACTCTGTTTATGATCTTTTTTGCTCCTCTTTCTGTTCATTCCCACTCTTAAGCTGTAATACAGAAACCCCAGCTAGGACAGGAAAACTGTTTACACAGGCATGTTGCAAACCTGACTGGGGAATGGATTCACATAAAAAGTAACCTGATAGAAACATAAATTGTTCT